TAGGCTGATTGCGTTACATAATACAGCTGTTATTATAAGAGAGAGGGTGAAGAAAAGATCGTACACCCACCCAGAGCTGTCAGAAGTATAGCATGTGCTGCTTGTTTTTATTATTCTGCAGTTGACCCCTCTGAAGGATTGACGACCTTAGCTCTTCTTTTTTTTTTTTTCTAGAATTAATTTTTACAGCTACTTTTGCTTTTGCAATGTCTGTGATGCAATCAGCGGTTTCTAATCTGGTTTTATAACTGATTCCATTAGGGTGGTGACGAGCTCTGTAACCAGCATAGGATTTCCTGTAATTCCAATCTGTGATAAGGATCACTATTTATCCATCTTATGTCTGATATATATGGTGCTGGCTGTCAGGGTACCAAGAAAAACTTAAAGTGCAGGTTTAAAAAATATCAATAAACATAAATGGCAAGAAACAATGGAGAAAGTCCAGGGCGTCGTTGGTGCCAAGCCAGCGGTGAGATGCCAAAGCGGGAAGTCGGAGGAACCAGGTCAGGGAATACTGAGGGCAGAATAAACGGAAACAAGCAGGAGTCAGGAACCAGGAGATCAGCCAGCCAGAGCTAGGGTCATACACGGAAAACAGGAACAACAGCAGAGAACTTGGTAGATCAGAACACACGTAAGGGTAGAGACTGAATGGACAAGCTGATGGTTAAATAGTGAACTGGTGTTTGCATCATCACTCTGAAACAGGAGTTTGTCAGAACATTTGTCGGTAGTTGCAGAATGACGATGTTTATGGGTTTGGTCATAAGAGGCCACCAAAGAGGAACAAACAGTGTCAGACACACTGCACACAATACAGGCTGCTGGTAACTAGACAATGTCAGGGTGAGAAACCCTGACGCTGGCACACAGGTGAAGAGAAGCAGCGGGCCTGGGTGCAGCATGTCTGGCTATATGAACTATATCAGCTAAATGAAGCAATCACAGGACTTGTCCAGAGCATAAGAAGAAAAGTTGTTGTTTAATGTATTTACTTGAGGAAAAGGTTACCTTGAGAAAGGTGGGCAAGGCCCTCCTGAAACATTGGTCTGAATAAACAACAACCTTTTTGTCTTAAGCAGGGCCAAGCAAAGTCAGAGCATGGGCCGAGCTAAGGCACAGGCAGGACCAAGCTGAGGCAGAGCTGTGGGCGGCACAGCTGGGGAGGGAGCTTCTCCTGCTTCCGCAGTGCCCAGATGTCTCCTGCTCTGTGCAGGACTGAGCTATAAAGCTGATAGCTCAGTCCTGCAGATTACACTGGAAGATTGTGGCTCTCCCTGTATAACCAGTAAAACGTCACTCTGCAGTCAGAATAGCAGCTGCCCACTCTCTTTCGGGAGATCGGTGTGCTCCTGGTAAACAGAGTACAGCACCCGGCTGTCATGAAGCTCCAGTGATTACACAGGGAAACCCACGTTCTCCCTGTGTAATCTGCAGGACTAAGCTGTCAACTTGGCAGGTCAGGTCCTCCTCTGCATTCATTTATGAATGAAAGCTACTGTAGGGGCACAGACAGCAATAAAAAAAAGTGACAGAGGCTCTGACTATTCTACAATTCCAAATGTTTTGGCTTTTGGTACCCTATAAAAAAATCATCCTCCATCTTGTCCTTTAAATTATTAACCACACCACTTCTACCACCTCTGATCTGATGAGAATGGTTCAAACGGTGCTGTCCACATGTATCTCTTTTTCCTGTCGTGTCACTACTGTGCTGCTCACTGTTCTCCATGCTGGAGGCTCTGACATGAGGAAGCAAAACCTGCCTCTACCAAGATGGAGGCATCCGCATAGAGACACAGTCTAGAACAAGGCATGGCAAACCAGTAATAAGTATAAGTTCAGGTTTGGTCCTTACCCGAGCTTATCCGAACCCAGCAGTTAGGTGTCCGTGCACTCCTAATGGGCTGCACCCAGGGAACTCCCTGCCCCACATGTAAACAAAGAGAAGGATGCTGGTGACTTCCTTGACCTTCTATGGTCATTGGCGCTGAACAAATATGGCCACATAAGATCAATGATGTCACCAGCATCTTACCCCATGGTTTAAGTGCAGGTTGGGGAATGCCAAGGCCAGAGCTGATGCATTCATTGACACCTAACTACCAGCTTCAGATGAACTCTGTTCCAGACTAAACCCAAGCTCATCCAAGGGTCATACACGGAAAACAGGAACAACAGCAGAGAACTTGGTAGATCAGAACACACGTAAGGGTAGAGACTGAATGGACAAGCTGATGGTTAAATAGTGAACTGGTGTTTGCATCATCACTCTGAAACAGGAGTTTGTCAGAACATTTGTCGGTAGTTGCAGAATGACGATGTTTATGGGTTTGGTCATAAGAGGCCACCAAAGAGGAACAAACAGTGTCAGACACACTGCACACAATACAGGCTGCTGGTAACTAGACAATGTCAGGGTGAGAAACCCTGACGCTGGCACACAGGTGAAGAGAAGCAGCGGGCCTGGGTGCAGCATGTCTGGCTATATGAACTATATCAGCTAAATGAAGCAATCACAGGACTTGTCCAGAGCATAAGAAGAAAAGTTGTTGTTTAATGTATTTACTTGAGGAAAAGGTTACCTTGAGAAAGGTGGGCAAGGCCCTCCTGAAACATTGGTCTGAATAAACAACAACCTTTTTGTCTTAAGCAGGGCCAAGCAAAGTCAGAGCATGGGCCGAGCTAAGGCACAGGCAGGACCAAGCTGAGGCAGAGCTGTGGGCGGCACAGCTGGGGAGGGAGCTTCTCCTGCTTCCGCAGTGCCCAGATGTCTCCTGCTCTGTGCAGGACTGAGCTATAAAGCTGATAGCTCAGTCCTGCAGATTACACTGGAAGATTGTGGCTCTCCCTGTATAACCAGTAAAACGTCACTCTGCAGTCAGAATAGCAGCTGCCCACTCTCTTTCGGGAGATCGGTGTGCTCCTGGTAAACAGAGTACAGCACCCGGCTGTCATGAAGCTCCAGTGATTACACAGGGAAACCCACGTTCTCCCTGTGTAATCTGCAGGACTAAGCTGTCAACTTGGCAGGTCAGGTCCTCCTCTGCATTCATTTATGAATGAAAGCTACTGTAGGGGCACAGACAGCAATAAAAAAAAGTGACAGAGGCTCTGACTATTCTACAATTCCAAATGTTTTGGCTTTTGGTACCCTATAAAAAAATCATCCTCCATCTTGTCCTTTAAATTATTAACCACACCACTTCTACCACCTCTGATCTGATGAGAATGGTTCAAACGGTGCTGTCCACATGTATCTCTTTTTCCTGTCGTGTCACTACTGTGCTGCTCACTGTTCTCCATGCTGGAGGCTCTGACATGAGGAAGCAAAACCTGCCTCTACCAAGATGGAGGCATCCGCATAGAGACACAGTCTAGAACAAGGCATGGCAAACCAGTAATAAGTATAAGTTCAGGTTTGGTCCTTACCCGAGCTTATCCGAACCCAGCAGTTAGGTGTCCGTGCACTCCTAATGGGCTGCACCCAGGGAACTCCCTGCCCCACATGTAAACAAAGAGAAGGATGCTGGTGACTTCCTTGACCTTCTATGGTCATTGGCGCTGAACAAATATGGCCACATAAGATCAATGATGTCACCAGCATCTTACCCCATGGTTTAAGTGCAGGTTGGGGAATGCCAAGGCCAGAGCTGATGCATTCATTGACACCTAACTACCAGCTTCAGATGAACTCTGTTCCAGACTAAACCCAAGCTCATCCCTGATCAGCAAAAGGTTCAGATCAATGCCCAGATAATATTGGTAAGTATCTCTTTGCCCCCTCTGTCTACTTCTTTCGGGTACAGCTTTCAGAGTTCGGTTCCTCTTTAACTTCCAGGTATAAAGTAGTAATCGCCCGCACCCCCAGGTCCCATGCATCAATCCGTTGCTTTTTGCCCGATGAAAGGACCATGTTAGGTTCCGAAACGTTGATTTCGGCTTGTGATGCCATGTGTATCTGACGTCAATAAAAGGACGGATTGATGCATGGGACCTTGGTGTGCGGGCAATTACTTCTTTATACTTGGATTTGTGCAGTGGCTTATGCTTCGCACCCAGCACCCCCAAGGGATTCCGGTCTGGAGTGCAATGGTACACTCGTAAATCTTTAACTTCCAGGGAGCAGGAAAACAACCTCTGAAGCTTAAAATAATTTGTTTAAAAATAATTATAAATAATAATAATAATAACAAATGCCCAACACACCAGTGCATACAGCTTGGACCCCTTATCAGCAGCACTTCTGCGTGATGAGGTCTACGCATTTCATCATAAAGACTTCATCAGAGATTTCCAACAATGGGGACACCGTCATTACCTGTGGTGGTAAAGCGTGGTGTTATATGGAAGGAAATCATACAGATCGGAATTAACTCGTAGTGGGTTTTTTTTTTTTTTAGCTTTTAGTTTTAGATTGTGTTTGTGCCATTTATCTGTAATTTTAGATGTTGACATATAGACACACACTCATAAGATGTAGATGTATAGGAACATGCAATTATACTAGTTGTTTGCAAATTATTCAAATGTAGTATGCAAATCAGAGCAATTAGACACTCATGGCCTCTTCCCTGTTGTAGCGTGTGATTAATATAATTACAGGTTATCAATAAAGTTTAGTTTCAGCATCAATGAAGTATTGGTATTCATCTAGTTCCATCAATAAGAAAAGTTTAATCCTGGCTTCAGAGTTTTCATTCCCTCCGTTCTGTTCGTGAGAGGCTTATAACCATTCTTTCTCCTGATCATCCAGAATGAAATTATTTTTCGGTACAATAAGCTGATCCATATTCATAGGGGCTCTCTGTATCTTTAAATGAGATGTTGGTTATTTTTTTTCGTCGGGAACGCGGTTCAGGAATTTTGCATATTTTCAGCCATCTGTCCTTGGCGATCAGACCGACTCATTTGTGATGCAACAATGCTCAAATGATTGTAAAACGCTTGAATTATGTATGTTGGATGTGATTGTTTATTTTTTTTTCTGTTCGCAGAATCTGTACAGCCAGCTGAAATCGGCACCGGCGGACAGCCTGACCTTCAAACTGGCTCTGTGCCTGTGCATGGTAAACTTCTATCATGGAGGGGTGCGAGGTGTGGCGCATTTGTGGCAGGAGTTCGTACTGGAGATGCGCTATCGGTGGGAGAACAATTCTATAATTCCAGGGTGGGTACCCCAGGCTGTTTATGACATTGTTTGTGTCTTGTTTATTTTAAAGTTAGCACTCCGTATTCCATCCCAACCTCTGCAGCAGATTTGAATTTATAAGTATATACTGTAGATTGTGGCATTTTCACTGCCTGCCATGCCCAGGGCTGGTGCAGTGTTCATGTCCTTTAGAGCTCTCGGCATCTTGTGCGTGTGAACCATGCCTGGACATTGAATATGATAGAACCCGCAGAAACATGCACAGAGCTTAGGAAAAAGGCCATTATTCTCTATGGCCAGGCCCGGCATATGCACACGGTTTCACAGGGCATAGGAAGCTTCAGAGGAGAGAAACACGGCACCGGCACCAGCCTTAAAGTGACATTAAAGTCCCCCCCATGTAAATGTCAGCACTTACCTTAAATGATGTCTCCTTATTCCGATCATCTTCTTCTTTCCTGATGTTTTCATCTGTCCCTCCAGAGATGCGGCGGCTCTCCCATCCAGCGCTGACTGCTCTGTCCCTCCGATCAGCGGTGCCTGCATGCAGGTGCACACGTCCATAGACTTACCTTGCATCTCTGCTCGTCTCCCGGCCGAGAATAGGAACTGCGCATGCGCCCGCCCCAAGATCCTTTGCGGCCGTACGGGCAGTTCCTGATTCTCGGCGCGGGCGCGCGCAGCGATTACGAGGTAAGTTTAAACCTAGTTAAAGCGTTTTGTTTTTTTTAAAACTTTTTGCCTATATCTAGTGCTTGCTAGAACCCCTTTAAGCCGGCCATACACATTACAACCATCGCAAGATGGTTGTAAGGTAATTAAAAAAAGTACGCCCATCTGCCCATCTTCGACAGACACATTTTACTTGCGATCATCGCAAGCCCGCCCCGCTAAGGGGCGGGTTTCAGATGACTGTAATGCTGAACGGCAGTGTGCGCTTGCGCACAACGGCCCGTGTGGCATTTGTGTTACGAGCAGGCCACAAACTTGCCGAAAATCATACGATTCTCAGCAGGTTTTCAAACATGCACGTAAGACAAAACACGTGCGACCGTACAGTATAAACGGTCACACGCCTTCCATACACCTGCCGATTATCGTACGATCGCAGGATTTCCCGCGATTATCGTACGATAATCGGCAGGTGTATGGGCACCTTTTATACAGCATGCACCTGTGTTTCTTCATTTACTGTGGGGGTGAAATCTACATTGCAACTATAAAAGGGCGCTTATTCTTTAACTTACCAATGTAACATTTCTAATACGAATGGCCTGTTTTAGTACTATTACAGTTCAATATTTGTTTTTTTATTAGATCTTTCCGAAATGGAAGCTATACTGGTTATTGGTAATTATTTTTGTTGTTTCTTTTTAAAATATATGTCCAGCAAAAACACTTTTTTTAAATTTTTTTTTATTTAAAGCCCGTTTCCACCTTTTGCAGAGGTATTTTTAAAAACACATATGTCAGCAAGATGCAGGAGTGCACATGAAGCAGGCGTATGCAGTTGCTGTATATGAACACGCATACCTACTTTCTTTTGTCCTCTTCATCTCCTCATGGCTTCTTTTATAAAATGGCCGCCTCTGTGCTTTGCAAGCAGTCTGTGTATATTAAAAATAATAAATGTACTGCACCAATATTCAAGCGAACAGCTACCAGGCACTAGGGTGTACACACACTGTAAAAGTGCCCATACACCTTGCGATTATCGTACGATAATCGCCGGGAAATCCCGCGATCGTACGATAATCGCAAGATGTATGGAAGGCGTGCAACCGTTTTTACTGTACGGTCGCACGTCTTTTGTCGAACCAGTATGCTTCTTCTTCTGCATGTTTCTAGCCTGCTCGTTCGACAACTGCAGAACGGGCCGGTGTGCGCATGTGCCCGTTGCGCGTTTAGCATTGCGGTCATTGGAAGCCCGCCCCTCAGCGGGGCGAGCTTTCGATGATCGCAAGTACGATGGGCAGATCGTACAAGCTTTTAATAAGCTTACGACCATCGCAAGACAAAAGTCTTGCGATGGTCGTAAGGTGTATGGGCACCTTTAGTGTGTATATGTGAATATAAATGTAGCTAAATGTGCCAAGCTAAGCATGACAATAAAACATTACAGTGAGTTTTAACACCTGTCTCTGGGCAGGTTAATAACACCACCTAGCTCCAATTATGCAAATGCTATCAACACCTGGTTGTGACTAACATATATTATGTGGATTGGAGCAACATTCACCATATTTATTCCCAGATAATTTTTGTACAAGTCATTCTGAGAAAGCTGGTCGGATGACCAGTGAAACATCTTCAAGAAAAATACAGCAAGTCCAGTTGCTTTGATTTGTTTTTGTACAGATATACCATGACCTGGATGAATGAGAACCTTCACAAACATATTACAGTGAGGTATGTCCACTCAGGACATGTTACTTCACAGAAATTGTGAGTTCAATTGCAAGTCAGTGGGCCCTCCATTAACTTGTACCATCCGATTTTGGTGTGACTGCACCCTTTAAGTAGAACTATGGGCAAAAGCAAAAATTACATATGTTCTGCAGTTTGTAAATCGCATTAACACGTCAGTGTTTGTTTACCCGAGTCCATCCTGTGATGTAGTTTTTTCACTCGTTGATCCTGTAAGCAGGTCAATTGATTTTCCTCTTCCTGTAATTGAGTGACAACGCCGTGCTATTTGCAGTGAAATCAGTTTGATGTTGCAATCTGATTGTACAATCTCCTTCAGCTCTACCAACAACTAAGTCATGCAATTGCTGCCTTCACTGGATACAAAGTAATTGGTTGGATTAGGTAAATCTAAAGTTGATTGTACAAAGATTGTATGGTTCAGATGGAACATGCATGGTTCACTAAAATAGACATGTCATTTTAGATGGACTTCAAGTAAGTCACAAATAAAGGAAAATCCAACTGAAGCTAACACTTTGTAAGCAGTTGCAGCAGAAGTTTGTTTTTTTTCTTGTGAAAAAAAGGTTTAGAAAAAGGTGCGCGGCTATCTGATTGACGTTGCCACGCGCGTGCATGATGACGTCATCGCACATGCACGGTCGTCTTATTAGCGCCTGCCGGTGGCCATCTTGGTGATGGACGCCGGCAGAGAGAGGTGGGGACATTCACCCGGCGGGATGAGGTATGCCGCCCGGTCCTCTCCTCTCTCCTGACACTGTCGGACTCTCGGTCCATGACTTGAGTGCCCGACTGTTTAAAGGGGGTGACACCAAAATGACTGTTAGTCATTTTGGTGTCACCCGGGTGCGGGCAAGCACCCCCATTGTGACGCTACTGGACCAGAGGTATAAAAGTGACCATTGTAAGCACTCCCATCAAATGCAATGAACAGCTTGGCCTGCTTTTACATTTTGAGAAAAATTAAATCAAAGACGTGAAATAAATAAAAAAAGGAATTAGTATATATGGAATACTATCATTCCAGGTATTACCCTCATACAGAACCCCATAAACTTTTACCTGCTCGAAGCGGCCTTTAATATATAACAAAAGGATCTGCAAATGCAAAATAGTCACTTCTGTGATGACTAATGGAATTCTATAACAAGCTTCTTTCAGCAGAGCCAAAAGCTGAAATAGCTGACTATGTGAAAACGAGATGAGCGCTCCCTCTGCTGGCTGAATAGAAGACTGCGCAATATTACTATGCAATATTTCACATTTCTCTTACTAAAGAAAAAAAATATTTAACCACTTACTGTGAGTGGCCGTACATATATCACTGCTTTATCAGCTTCTTTGGAGTGTCTCGGTGTGATTTGGAGTCTGAAAGACCCCTAATGTCTCCATAAAGAGGACCTGTCTGTCACACACTATCTGCTATTACATAGGGGGCTTGTTAGCTATTTGATAGCAATAAAGTTAAGTGTAAAAAAAAAAGTTTAAAAAATAAAAACATTTACCGTATATACTCGAGTATAAGCCGTCCCGAATATAAGCCGAGGTACCTAATTTTAGCCAAAAAAACTGGGAAAAAGTATTGACCCGAATATAAGCCGAGGGTGGGAAATGAGGCAGCTACTGGTAGATAGATACCATTAAAATACATTAATATTTATTTAAAAGAAAAATAACCTAGCTCTGTAAGTGGAAAAGGGGGTACAGGGCTACATATCATGTACTACGGATCATTTAACCCATTCATATTAGCAGAGGATAATTGTAAATCTATTGTTCAGTGAATTTAAAAACTGGCAAAAACTATGTAGAGTCCTTCGCCCCCCACGTGCACGCACATACATACGCAAACACGCGTGCAAAGCCGAAAATTGCGCTACACATGTTACATATCGCCGGAGTGAGAGCAATAATTCTACAGCCATTGATCACTGTTGGCACTAAACTGATGAGCGGTAAAAGCTTTTAAAGTGTCCTCTATGGGAAATCTGGGGCATTTAATTTTTTTGCGGCTTTACAGCGAATGCAATTTTAGGGCTTGACATGTTTGGTATCTATTTAGCCAACGTGACCCCGTCTTATATATTTTACCAAAACATTTTTTTTTTATTCTACAGAGCCTCGGCTTTCAGAGAATATACAATTTTTCGGGGGTTTAAAGCAGTTTTTTAGCCAAAAATTAATATTATGTGTGTGCAAATGTAAGAAATTGCTCCGGACAACAAGTAGTTAATTGTTTACTTTGTTTTTTTTGTGCTGACCATGATAAACTTTGTACAAAACCAATACATTCCCTTCAAAATCCTTTTTTTTTATTTTGGCAAATGCACTGAACACTCAGAAAACTGCCGTTTATAAACCGAATAAGTGCAGAAAGGGGTTCTGTTAATTACAGATGTTCAGCCTGCTGCCCACGCACGGTGATTTTTTTTTCTGTTTCAGACCAAAACAATCTTATCTTCCAACTTTTCTTTTTAATTGAAGCTGAACTCCGGGAAAATGACTAAATGCACATTTTAAATACATAAAACCGGTTTCATCTGCCAAAAGGTTTTTAATTCTGTCCAGAAGTCTTGTGATACACAGAACCCTGGAACATTGCAAGACCAAGACGGCTTCCTATATGATAGTATGTAAAGTATGCATTCAAGTGTAAGTGGTAATGAAATCCGGGACCTCAGTGCTACAAAGTGGGTGTGCTTAACCACTAAGCTTCCATATATTTATCTGTTTATTTTTGGGGTGCTGTCCATTGCATTGCAGAGTTAATTGCACCCCAACACACCTTGGTTATAGTGCACAGATGGCTATGCTTTGTGTTCTGTCTTGCGCTGAAGAAAATTGTGCATGGTTCATTTTTCTGTGTGCTAAGGTGTCCTCACTGCCCATTCAAAATTATATATGTATATATTTATATCTATAAGTGTGTGTGTGTGTGTGTGTGTGTGTGTGTGTGTGTGTGTGTATTCTTTGGGTACCTTAGTTTTCTTTTCCTCCCCATTCCTCTCTCAGTGGCCATTTTTACTATGGGCGGATTAATATATCTTCCTTTACTTCCTGGAACTCTAGCACATGTCACTAGGACATGTGACCATACACATCATCTCAGGGGAGGAAAATGCCTTTCCCTGAGATCTCGTGAGATTACAGATGATATTTCCCAGCAATGCTCTGCTGATGCAACCTTCCCAGGATGCAATGTTTGGGCACATTACATCACTAATGGCCAAGAGGACCAGGAAGTGGAAATGTATGAATGTAATGTGATTTCATATCAGCATGCTGAGGTGATTTTTAGTGAAAGGGGGTAAAGGTCTGCTTTAAGTCTGTATCTGAACCTGAGAATATGTAGGCCAATGTGTTCTCTGGTTCTAGGCTCTGCCCTCTTGTAGTTTTTAGAGGTAAGTTGCAACAGGGAAATCCATGTGACCAAGGACTGCGATCTCATTTAAAAGAACTGCAATGAGCCAGCATAATCTGGTTGCAAGCTGAGCAGACTATGATTTTGCACTTATTGCTGTATATTTTAGGTAGTGTTAAAAATGATTTCCAGGCACAAAAAGGCTGCCTACAGAAAACTACAGGAGGGGGCGGAGACAAGATCAGTCACCCTGCACAAGGAGAGAGAGCAGCAGTGACTGGTCTTTTTTTGCAGTAGTGGTGGAGACAAGACCAGCCACCAGGCACAAGGAGAGAGAGCAGCAGTGACCGGTCTTTATTACAGGAAGCTCCAAGTGTCACACTGGATTACTGCACAGATCTGGAAGGAATACACAAAGCTCACCAAGATTCCAGAAGGAATACACATGACTCTTGTATGTAGACAATATATGCTCAACCCGGAGTTCAGCTTGAATGGTCTCCTGATTTGTTTTTACAAACTCCTAACATAGTGAAATATAAGCACATAGGCCTTTACAATACTGTCTTTCTTGTCTTCCAGGTTAAGTAGCGGCCCTCCAGATCTTAAATGTTGCTTACTTCACCAAAAGCTCCAGGTACGCATTCATTTTTTTTTTACAGTATAATAAACTTGTGTATTCAGACCTGAAGCATGTAGTGCTTTATGTTTTATATGTTCTGTCTCCCTATCCTGTAGATGCTGAACTGCTGCATTGAGCGGAAGAAGTCACGGGATGATGCTAAGAAGGCAGAATCCTCAGACAAGAACGCGTCAGCTTATTCTAGAGAATCTGAAAAGGGCAAGTATGACGTGGGGAAGTCCTGGGACTCTTGGAGTGACAGCGAGGACGAATTCTTTGAGTGTCACAGCGACACAGAGGAACTGAAAGAGGACGCAACTAGGAAACAGTCAGCTAAAGAGGCGGCACCGCTAAAACCTGACGGGCGCTTACATCAGTTCGGAAACATGACCTTATTGAGTACAGCAGAGCCTCTCTACATTCCGATAACACAGGTAAAAGTAACAATTTATATACAGTAGGTCTTTTCATTGCAACAAAGAACACTGCCCAGCAGCTTGTCATTTCTGTCCATCTAATATGGGCGAATGTGAGAGAGGCAAATATGTACAAAAGCATTGCTAGCCAAGGATGGGATAAAATCGCTCCACTTAATAGCAAAACAGACCTCAGTGCATCTAACTTCTAAATGCAGTTGTATACATTTGTAAGTACAGGCAGTCTCCGAGTTACAAACATCCGACTTGCATACGACCCCTGCTTACAAACTAAGGCTATTACTGCACATCAGGGGGGTCCCAGGCTGCAGCCAAAGTGTACCGCGCAGCATTTCAATAGTTGTAATGCTACCGCACCCGTGCCGACAAGGGGTGCCCGCCTTTTTGGGTCTGGTTTGTAGTACTGTACGTTAGAGAGGGGTGCCCGCCTCTTCTTCCGGGTCTCTGTGGGGTTTTTACTGCTGTCTGTATCCTCATTAGAAAGATTTAATCTCACTTAATGTCCTTGAGACAACAGGAAGTGAGAGCAAATCTACCCCTAGGAAGGGAAATTCACTCTTGTGTCTCCACTGAAGCTTTATCACCAATCCTTGTTTCCACGACAATCCAAAATTTTCAAAATTCAATTGTCACAGGGACAGAAAGTGAGGTGAAATCTTCTGAACAGGGGCACACACAGCAGAACAAACGTTACAGGGGGTAAGTCTTCCCTATGCTATCCCAAACTAAAAAATGTTTTGGCTGGAGTTACACTTCAAAAATTACCTGTTCCAACTTGCATACAAATTCAACTTAAGAACAAACCTACAGACCCTAAGAAGATTAAGGTACATTTGAACGTGTTATACTTCTTTTATTTGTGAAGTAGCATCACTGAAAGAAGAACTGAACTCAAAAACTGAAGATTTGATATGATATAGGAAACATGTACTTGTTGAAAAATTGACCTTTTATCTGGGATTCCTCTAAAAAATCGCACCGCACTTTCTAGTATGTGAGGGTGCCTAGGCACTCGTGTGCCGTCAGCCTCATATCAGTATATCTGCAGTGTGAGATCCAAGGCACTGCTGAATCTGACTAGTCACAGGAGATTTAGAGTGAGGTTTGCCCGATGTCAGTTCTGTGATGTCCACTGAATTTGACATACGGAAGCAAAACCCTGCCTCTGCCAAAATGGCTTCCCCTACGCAAGGACACAGTACAGAACAAGGTATGATAAGTCAGTATTGGGGAAAGTAAGTAGCTGCAGGGAGACCACAGGCAATACCGATGACTTGTCCTTTGTCTTCTGCATGCCTTTTTTGGGCCTCACAGACATTGCACAGTCAGAGACTGCAGACCTACAAGAGAAAATGGTCAGAGAGTACAGGTATACTACAGGTGTGGTTGAAGACTGGCGAAATGCTGGCAACTCTCAGAGACTGGGATTATGTTACATTATATTGGTAGAGACCATTACCATTTACAGCCTTTTTATAAAATCAACAATGGTATTTGTTGGGGTCCAGGAGCCACATGACACGCATCAATGCTAAGGCCTCATTTACACTGCGCTAACCCCGGGCGTACACATCCGTGCGCGCCCATAGCGGGCCTTTCCCAGGGGGGGGACACAGGTACTGTGTGTAGCAGCCTGTTCTTCCCTATGGGAGGACAAGGCTGTATGCACACCCAAATTGCACATCAGACAGGATGGATACTGGCGTGTATGCTCCAAATTAGCGCAGTGTAAATGAGGCCTAATTGTGTGGGTCCAAGAGCCACATGACAAGCACTGATGCTGATTGTTGGGGTCCAAGAGCCGTATGAGGAGCACCGATGCTAATTGTTGGAATCGAAGAGTAACATTACAGGCACAGATGCTAGCAATAAGTAGTAACCCATTCATTCAAAAAGCCAGACATAATACAAAATCTGCAGCATGCTGCCCTACCTTTTAAAGGAGAACTATGGGGTCAGGGCTTTTCCCCATAGTTCTCCTTTGGGTTACGGGAGGACACAAACTAGCGTCCTCCCGTCACCCTAAGCTCAGTATACCGCGAGCTAGACGCTGCAGCCGGGACGGATCCCAACATGTCTGGATCCACCCAGCTGCGTGAGTGACAGCTGGCTCTGCCTATCTAGAGGCAGAGCCAGCTGTATCCGCCCCCTCCCCCGTCCATTCCGTCAGTCAGCGCTGGTGGATCGGAGGGGGGAATCCAGCCCGTCCCCTGCCACGGCAGAGAGCCGTGACAGGACCGAGAAGTTACATAGTATTTGAGGTTGAATAAAGACATATGTCCATCAAGTCCAACCTTTTTTTTGTATGTGTGTATGGTCCTATTGGTGTGTAGTGTGATAAAAGAGTACTTGTACCCCTGTATATTACGGTCCCTGAGGAAATTGTCCAGTCGCCTCTTGAATGATTCTGCACTCTCAGCCGAAATCACAGCATGTGGCAGCGAGTTCCATATCTTGACCGATCTAACTGAGAAGAACCCCTTTGCCCCTTGTGCTGAAATTTTTTCTCCACCAATTTTAAATGGTGGCCTCTCGTCCGTGTCATCGAGTTAATTGTAAAAAGTTTGCTGCTAATGTTACTATCCCCGGTAAACATTTTATACATAAAAATCATGTCCCCCTTTTAATCTCCTTACTTCCAAGGAGAACATGTTTAATTTTAGAAGCCTGTTCTCATAACTCAGGTCCTCCATCCCCTTTATGATTTTGGTTGCCCTCCTCTGTACCCTCTCCAGTTCAAGGACATCCCCCCTGTTCACTGGTGCCCAAAACTGGACCGCATACTCCAGATGTGGCCGAACCAGTGATCTGTAAAGTGGCACAATTGCTTGCTTTGTTTACAGCCACCTGACACTGCAAGCTATTTTTCAGCCTGTGGTCTACAATGACCCCCAAATCTGTTTCCCTTTTGGATTTTCCGAGTGGAGCTCCCATTAGTGTGTAATCCGTTTTCTTGTTTTTAACCCCAAAGTGCACAATTCTACATTTATCCACATTAAACCTCATCTGCCATGTGGTTGCCCACTCCCCTATTTTATCCAGATCCCCCTGTAATGTTATAGTGTCAGATTCAGTGACTATACCTGTTAGAAAATAATATTTCTCGACTGACACTTACGATTTAAGCGTCTTAAGGTGATTAATCTTCATCAATGAATGTCCAGTTGTAGAGTGAAAAACTTGTGACTTTAATTGTATAATGGGAAGTCACAGCAGCATACAATGATATTGCAAAAGTAATATACAAATAGATAGTTCAAAGTATATAGTTCTTAGTTAATACAGAGTTTAAAGAGCATGTCACCTCGTTCTGAGTCTTTACCTCGTGGTATGGTTCTCTAAGGTTTCTGAACGGTTCAGCCCAAAATAGTCTTCTTAGCAGGTGGAATAACAAAGTCTCTTCTCAAATGGGCGTGTTAGAGTTCTATTCATGAGTGTGCATAGTGTCATCTAATGTAGTGTGATGAAGTGTCTAGTGTGAAGTCGCCTGTCGCTTATATTCCAAAATCGACGTTAATGATTTGTTTATCCTATAAGGCCATATATAGTGTAAGCATATTCTTAACTTATTTCTGATGTCACGACTCCCATACTTCTCTATATGGTGCGACCAAAACTACTTAAGTCATGAATTTTTAAATGTCATTCTACAACTCTATTTAAAACACAGAACCTTGTTCTTAAAACACTCCCCTAACAGCTGCTTCTTTACTAGTTCTATACAAATTCTGACATAGCTTCAGGTTTCAAGGACAGAAAGGATATGTCTTTAAAAGTTATACATCCATCTTCATTTAAACGCACGAGGTCACTGTAAATATATATATATATGCATGGGCCCATTCTATAATTACCTTTAAGCCAAATCAAATTTGAATCTATGTATTTTACAATACCCCTCCCGATTTTGGTATCATCCGCATAGATTAAACAGCATGGGGCCCAGAACAGACCCCTGCGGAACACCGCTCATGACCGTAGCCCAATCCGAGAAGGTGCCATTTATCGATACTCTTTGTACCCGTTCCTTTAGCCAGTTCTGAGCGAACGCCAGTATGTGTTCGCTCACTTCCCGATCTACTGAGCCGACCTGTGACAGTCTCATTGTCACAGGTCGGCTAGAACTATGAGGTGAGTGAAAAGCACTCCTCATAGTACTCCTTTAAGGAAAGAGAGACAATGGGGAGAATTCAATAAATTCTTAGCGACGCCTTTTGGACCACCGTCATCCTAGCAACTAATTACACTTCCCCTGACCCATTCAGCTGCCGGACGAGAAATTGCCCAGCCGGCAGCTGAATGCCAAGAAGAGACCGAGGATGCTTGCTGACCTCGTTACCAAAGTATGGCCATGACCGTAATCAATGAAAGCACCAACAGTGCAATTTACATTAAATAAATTCCTGAATTTAGAGCATGCTTACCTGGAATAGAACTAGAACTCCATGAGGTGCAAAGATGTAACAGAGAGAAACCGAGCTAATGGCTGCTTGTGCATGTACCAAATAGAAGAAAAAACACACCCCAACATATTTCATTTCAAAAGTAATTTTCTATATATTAAATCTGTAGCTTTCATTAAAATAATACCTGGTGATCCCTTGTTTAGCAATTCACTTGTGCTCATGCGTAGTCACCCTGACACATGAAGATAACAATCAGCCATTACAACACGGAGTGTGCAGATGTGGTCCACTGTTGTCACCATTAGGAAATCCACCCTGGGAAATGCCGTTCAGACATCTCTGGAGTACGTGTAGTAAGGTCGTGCCTGCAAATAGCTTGCATCAATTTAGTAGCACTGAGATGCAACAAAGGATGAAAAAAAAAGGTAAAAAAAGCTAATTTAAGTAACTTGATATCAGCCTCTGACAGTCCCCTGTACAATGGCACTCACTGGGAGAGAGAGGGTCAGCATTGGGACCCATTCAGGTATGCTACATGGGAACATGCTGAGAGGAAGCTAGAAAGAGAGAGATGACCTCATCAGTCTTCTA